GTTCCTCCCTCCCCCCCCTCCCGGCCACTTTCTGACCAATCAGATCCTTCGGTTGCCCCCCCCGAGGCTCCACCCACCTCCCCCTCCCACCAGCCAATCAGGAAGGAGGTGGGCGGGGCTTACCGGAAGGGGTAGGCGAAGGAGGCGGTGACGGTGGCGTTTGATTGGCCGTTGCAGCTGATGCGGAAGGAGACGTTGCCCCCGTAACCCCCGCAGGTGGCGAAGGCAAAAATGGAGAAAAACTGGCAAAAAAAGGGCAAAACCGAAGATTTTCACCCAAAAAACAATCGTCATCGTTCACCAGGCAAAAGATTTCCCCCAGAAACTCCCCAAAATTTGATTTTTTTAAGAGAAAAACGAACGAAAACCAGATTTATTCTAAATTTTTCAAAATTTTAAAAATTTATTTCGATTTTCAAAATGAAACGATTGGAAAAAAATGGGTAAAAAAAGCATTTTCAGCCAAAAATAATTTTTTAAAAAAATTATTAGGTAAAAATCACCCAAAAAATCCCCCAAAATGTGAATTTTTTGAGGAAAAATGAACAAAAAAACGGATTTAAAAATTGATTTTTCAAAATTTTTAAATTTTATCTGAATTTTCAAATTTAAACGCCTGGGGAAAAAAATAGAAAAAAAAAAAGTTTTCACCCCCCAAAATAACTTAAGAACAATTTATGAGGCAAAAATTCCCCCAAGTTGAATTATTAGCAGAAAAACGAAGAAAAGAGAAAATTTAAAAATTTGAAAAATTACCTCCAAAAATGCAGGCTTTATTTTTGAAAAAAATCCAATAAAACATAAAAATTTGCAAAATTAATATTTTTTTTCAATCTATTTGAATTTTTACATTTAAACAGCCAAGGAAAAAAGATTTTAAAGGCCGATTTTCAGCCCAAAACATAATTTTTAAAAAATAGATGAGGCAAAAATCCCCCCAAATTTGGATTTTTTGGGGGGAAAATGAACAAAAAATAGATTTAATATGAAGTTTTCAAATTTTTAAATTTTATTGGAGTTTTTAAATCTTACCAGGCAAAGAAAAATGGCTCAAAACCAGGATTTTCACCCAAAAAATAATTTTAAAAAACCCTTAAAATTCCTTTTTTAAATCCCACTTTTACATTTACAATTTACTTTTTAAATTTAATTTCCACTTTTTAAATTTCAGTTTTTAAACTTTATGTTTTTAAACATTGATTTTTTTTTAAACTTTACTTTTAAATTCCAGTTTTCATTTTTAAACTTCACTTCTTTAAACTTCAGTTTTTAAATTCCATTTTAAATTTCACTTTTACTTTTAAAATTTTATTGCTTTCAAATTTTTTTCAAAATTTTACTCTTAAAATTTTCCTGAATTTTCAAAAATTTTCCTGAAATTTCAAAATCTGTTTTTCCTTCACTTTTAACTGAAAAATCCCAAATTTAACAGAACCTGAACAACCTCGGGAGGGCTCCCAGTCCCTCCCAGTCCCTCCCAGTTTCCCCCCAGTGCCTCCCAGTAACACTCAGCCCCTTCCCAGTATATCCCAGTCCCTCCCAGTAACCCCCAGTGCCCTCCCAGTATATCCCAGTCGCTCCCAGTTCCTTCCTAGTTCCTTCCCAGCCCCCCCAGCCCCTCCCAGTTCCTCCCAGTATACCCAGTGCCCCTCCCAGTATATCCCAGTCCCCTCCCAGTCGCTCCCAGTTTCTTCCCAGCCCCCCCCAGTACACCCAGTGCCCCTCCCAGTCCCTCCCAGTAACCCCCAGTGCCCTCCCAGTATATCCCAGTCGCTCCCAGTTCCTTCCTAGTTCCTTCCCAGCCCCTCCCAGTCCCTCCCAGTAAACCCAGTGCCCCTCCCAGTTAGCCCCCAGTCCATCCCAGTCCCTCCCAGTCCACTCCAAGTCCCTCCCAG